TCCCAGGAGAAACACTTCTAGGCACATTGTAGTAACAATGATGGATTTGAATAATAAGGAAACAATCCTGCATGCAGCAAAAATGAAGAAGGAGCTATACTACAACGGGAAAAAAATTAGAATCACTGCAGATCTCTCCACACAAACAATGAATGCAAGAAAAGCCTGGGAAAGCACCATACGAGCCCTGAGAGACAATAACTGCCAACCCAGACTGATATACCCGGCAAAGCTAGCATTCACATTCGATGGAGAACTGAAAACTTTTAATAGCAAAGAAAAACTAAATGAATACATAAACATTAAGCCAGCATTACAAAGAATTCTAAGAGGGGGGACACAACCTGAAGAAAGCAACCAGGAACTGGGACCTGCCCCAAACAGGCATTACTCAAAGTCTAACTGAGCAAGCACAGGAGGAAAGGAAAAAAGAAAAACTTAGGAAAACGGAATGGCAGGGACAACAATGCATCTCTCTATACTTTCTCTTAATATAAATGGGCTGAATTCGCCAATTAAAAGAAAACGAACGGAGGACTGGATCAGAAAACAAGACCCATTCATCTGTTGCCTTCAGGAGACCCACCTCTCAGCCAAACATACAAACAAACTCAGAGTGAAGGGGTGGGAAAGGATCTACCAATCAAATGCCCCCAATAAGAAAGCAGGTGTAGCTATCCTGATATCTGACAAAATAAACTTTTCATTAAAATCAGTACAGAAAGACAAGGACGGACACTACATATTAATAAAGGGAACAATCCAAGAGGAGGATATAACCATCATCAACTTATATGCCCCAAATATCGGTGCACCCAGATATGTTAAACAAATGCTCTCAAACTTACAGAATAAAATAGATCCCAATACGATAATACTAGGAGACTTTAACACGCCACTCTCACCAAAGGACAGGTCTACCAACCAGAGGATTGGCAAAGAAGCTACCGAATTAAGTGAGGCCATACTTCAAGCGGAATTAACTGACATCTACCGAGTATTTCACCCTAAAACAACACAGTACACATTCTTCTCAGCAGCTCATGGAACTTTCTCCAAAATAGACCATATCATAGTTCATGCAAGGAACTTAAGCAAATACAAAGGGATCGACATAATCCCCTGTATCCTATCTGACCACAGTGGAATCAAGCTAGCTCTCAATAACAAAGCATACCGCAGAAATTTCTCTAATACATGGAAATTGAACAGCACACTCCTTAACAAGGCCTGGGTAACAGAAGAGATCAGAGAAGAAATAAAGCATTTCCTACAACTCAATGAAAATGAAAACACCTCACAAAGAAACTTGTGGGACACAGCAAAAGCAGTCCTGAGGGGCAAATTTATTGCCCTCAGTGCCCACATCAAGAGAATGGAGACAGACCAAGTAAATAATCTCATGTTGCAACTAAAACAGCTAGAAAAACAAGAAAAAATGGGACCTAAAGCTACTAGACGAAGCCAGATAACCAAATTGAGAGCAGAGATTAACCAATTAGAAAATCAGAAAACCATAACCAAAATAAACCAAACAAAAAGCTGGTTCTTTGAAAAAATAAACAAAATTGATGGCCCGTTGGCAAGATTAATTAAAAAAAGAAGAGAGGAAACCCATATTAATAGGATTAGGGATGCCACGGGAAACATCACAACACGTACCCAAGATATCCAAACAATTCTAACAGACTACTTTCAAAAGCTATACTCTCTAAAGGAAGAAAATCTGGCGGAAATGGATGCATTTTTAGAGAAATACAAGTTACCCAAACTGAGCAAAGAAGAAGTTAACCAATTAAATAAGCCAATATCCTATAATGAGATACAGGAAGCTATCAAAAGTCTTCCAACAAAAAAAAGCCCAGGACCAGATGGATTCACAGCAGAATTCTATAAGACCTTTAAAGAAGAACTAATACCCATACTCCTCAAGCTCTTCAGAGAAACAGAGAAGGAGGGAGCTATCCCAAACTCATTCTACGAAGCCAATATCACACTCATCCCCAAACCAGGCAAAGACCCAACCAAAAAGGAGAATTACAGGCCAATCTCCTTGATGAACACAGATGCAAAGATCCTTAACAAGATTCTAGCTAACAGAATCCAGAAACACATTAAAAAAATAATACACTATGATCAGGTAGGCTTCATCCCAGAGACACAGGGATGGTTTAACATACGTAAGTCAATAAATGTAATCCAGCATATCAACAGAGCCAAGGTCAAGAATCACATGATTATCGTCACAGATGCAGAAAAGGCCTTTGATAAAATTCAACATTCATTCATGCTAAAAGCTCTGGAGAAAATAGGAATAGAAGGAACATTTCTAAAAACAATAAAAGCCATTTATGACAGACCAATAGCCAATATTATACTTAATGGGGAAAAGCTACAACCAATCCTCCTAAAAACAGGAACAAGGCAAGGATGTCCACTGTCTCCACTCCTCTTCAACATAGTCCTAGAACCCTTAGCCAGGGCAATAAGGCAAGAAAAAGACATTAAAGGGATCCGCATAGGGAAAGAAGAAGTTAAACTATCCCTTTTTGCAGACGACATGATACTATACCTCCACGATCCCAAAAACTCCATCCCCAAACTTTTAGAAATCATAAGTCACTTCGGCAAAATAGCAGGATACAAAATAAACCCACAAAAATCAGTTGCCTTCCTATACACTGATAATGCACAGGAAGAGAGGGAAATAAAGGGAGCAACCCCATTCACAATAACCTCCCAAAAAATAAAATATTTAGGAATTAACCTAACCAAAGATGTAAAAGAACTATTTAATGAGAACTATAAAAAGTTAAAGAAAGAAATTGCAGAAGACACTAGGAAATGGAAAGACCTCCCATGCTCCTGGATAGGCCGACTTAATATAGTAAAGATGGTGATACTTCCAAAACTAATATACAAATTCAATGCAATTCCTATTAAAATCCCAATGACGTACATCACTGAAATACAGAAAACAGTCCAAAAATTTATATGGAACAACAAAAGACCTAGAATAGCCAAAACAATTCTAGGGGATAAAGACAATATGGGAGGGCTATCCATGCCGAACTTCAAACTCTACTACAGAGCTATAATCACAAAGACAGCATGGTACTGGCACAAAAACAGACCCGAAGACCAATGGAACAGAATAGAAGATCCAGATATAAATCCACAGGCCTACAGCCAGCTGATATTCGACAAAGGAGCCAAAGACATACAATGGAAGAAACACAGCCTCTTCAACCGCTGGTGCTGGGAAAACTGGGCAGCCACATGCAGAAAACTAAAAGTGGACCCCAGCCTATCACCATGCACCAACATCAACTCAAAATGGATTAAAGACCTTAACATTAAACCTGAATCTCTGAAACTACTACAGGACAGAGTAGGAGAGACACTTGAACTAATAGGCACAGGAAGGAACTTCCTGAACAGAGTCCCAGGGTCACAACAAGTTGGAGAGAGACTCGACAAATGGGACTACCTTAAAATAAAAAGCTTCTGCACAGCTAAATCTATCGCAACTAAGCTAGAAAGACAACCAACTAATTGGGAAAAAATATTTACCAGCAATATATCAGACAAGGGGTTAACATCCTGTATATACAGGGAACTCAAGAAACTAATCCCTCCCAAACCTAACAAACCAATTACTAAATGGGCAAGGGAACTAAAGAGGGACTTCTCAAATGAAGAAATAAAAATGGCAAAGAAACACATGAGGAAATGTTCATCATCCCTGGTGGTGAAGGAAATGCAAATAAAGACAACCCTGAGATACCACCTTACCCCAGTCAGAATGTCCCACATCCACAAATCAGCCAACGACAAATGCTGGAGGGGATGTGGAGAAAGAGGAACCCTGTTACACTGCTGGTGGGAATGTACACTTATACAACCACTTTGGAAAGCAGTCTGGAGGGTCCTTAGAAAGCTAAAGATTGACCTCCCTTACGACCCAGTCATACCACTTCTAGGCATCTACCCTGAACAACAGGAACCAATATACAAGGACACGTGCACCTCCATGTTTATTGCAGCACTGTTCGCAATAGCCAGGATATGGAAACAACCTAGATGCCCCACCACAGATGAATGGATCCAAAAATTGTGGTATCTATACACAATGGAATATTATGCAGCCATTAGAAATGACAAAATAATGGCATTTGCAGGGAAATGGATGGAGCTTGAAGGAATCATGTTGAGCGAGGTAAGCCAAGAACGAAGAGACAAACGGTACATGGTCTCCCTGATAAGTGGATGCTAAATCCAAAAGGTTAGGTGATACGATAAAACTAACAGGACTTAAGAAACAAAGAACTCCCGCTCATCTGGTTGAACCACTACTAAATATCCCCATGCTGCTGATCACAAATATGGTATATAACATGTGAACACTGTTATATATTACAGACTGTGGTAGACAATTTGCTCCAGGGAAGTTAGAATGAACTTGTGACTTTGAAATTATGTAATCATTTAATCACAATCAAAAAAAAAAAAGAACCTCGGGGAAGGGAGGGAGGGAGGGGATGGTAGGGGGAAAACAATGGAGGGGGTAACAATGTTCAAGAGGAAGTGTACTCATAACCTCACTCATGTAACTGTAACCCTCTGTATAGTAGCTTTACAATAAAAAAAAAAAAATAAGAGTCTCATGGACTTCCTTGCCCAGGCTGGCTTCGAACCATGATCTTCAGATCTTAGCTCCCTGATTATCTGGAAGTACAGGTGCAAGCCATTGAGTGCCTGACTGAGATTAATTATTTGTTAGTCTAGATGTTTCTTGGATTGCTCTAAAGTTTGAATCCATCATTATTAAGGAACATTAAGAATATTTATAGTTTAAATATGTTTTCTAACTTCATGACAAATTGAGCTGGCTGCTTAATTATGAATAGTATATGTTATTTTCATGAAATGTAAAGAAATAGATACATAGGCACGTCTACATATGAAGGAACATATTACTACCACATATCAAAGCCCACCTGTTTTTTGTAAATTTTCAGTTGTTCTTCGAAATGGGCACAGAAATAGGCAACAGTTTCCTTTTCACCTACAAAGAAGTGATACAAAATCTATTTTTCCTTCCCATGTTTAAGACAGAAATTAGTGTCTATCCCATCTTTCTTACTTTTAAATAATTTAATGACAGCTTAAATGATCATCTAAACATCATTTTAAAAATAAAATGTTAAGCCAAAACTCTGATTTTTTTCCAGTTAGACTAACCTTGAACATATCTGAAAGTGTCATCTGTGAAATTAAGACATTTAATATTGATATATACAACCTACTTCTCAGCAAGGGCTTATGTTACTTACAATAAAAGAATAAAGATCCCTCTTAAAAATGAAATAAAAAGGGGGCTGGGAAGGTGGCTCAGTGGTAGAGCGCTTGCCTTGCATGCATGAGGCCCTGGGTTCGATTCCTCAGCACCACATAAGCAGAAAAGAAAAGCCAGAAGTGGGGCTGTGGCTCAAGTGGTAGAGCGCTAGCCTTGAGCTGAAGAGCTAAGGGACAGAGCTCAGGCCCAGAGTTCAGGCCCCACGACCGGACCCAAAAAAAAAAAAAAAATGAAATAAAAAGAATGAAGTTTACTAAATTGTACAAAGAATGCAAGGTAACTTTGTAGATAAAGATCTTTTAACTCATCTTCATTTAGCAATTTCTATTTAAATGACTTAACTCATCCCAATACTAAGAATACTAGAAGAAATGAAATTCTCAATGTTTCAAAAAGGTTTTCACTGAGAAATTTAAGTAAAAGTATTCATTCGTTTTTGGACTTCATCTTGGTAAAGTACTTCCCGCTTCTACAAATTTGGCTATAATTACATTTTCCAAAGTCAAACATTCAATAAAGTGCTATTTAAAACAACAGCAGTCTAATATCTTTGCTCTCTTGTTAGAGAAACTTTTAATGTTAAACAAATCATTTAGTCAACTCCTGTGATTATATTATCTTATACTACATTTCACAATAAGAGTCATTGTTTTGTTTTGTTTTTGCAGTTCAGGTTCTCATACAAACTAGTCAAGTACTTTATCTCTAGACCATATCCCCAGCCCTAAGAGTTATTGTTTTGAATAAAGTATCTGGCAAAGAAAAGTACATATTTGTCAAGTGTCTACTTTTTAAAAAATTCTCTGTGAAATCATCATTTGTAAATCAAATACTTATCATGCTTACTTTTGTCCAGTCGAGGTCTTGGATTGTATCGGTACCCAACTTGGCTCCAAAAGACAGGCACAGAACCTCGTGTTTGAATAAATGACAAAGTATGATTATGAACATGAATTAATTGTTCAGTCTCTACATAATTGGCAACATTTCCATTTTTATCCACTCCTCTTCGTTTATAGCGCATTCCTGAAAAAAAATTGAAACAAATATTTGGAAAAATAATTGGTCTGGCCAGATGCCAGTGGCTCATACCTGTAATGCTAGCTAGTCAGGAAGCAGAGATCTGAGAATCAAGGTTCAAAGTACAAAAGTCTTCATGAGACTCTTATCTCCAATTAACCACTCAAAAACCAAAAGTAGCACTATGGCTCAAGTGGTAGAGCACTAGTCTTAAGCACAAAGAGGCTCAGGGACAGCACCCAGGCCCTGAGTTCAAACCCCACAACCAACCAAAAAAAAAAATTTGTTCTGGACAAGAACAGTGGCACAGGGGCTGGGAAGGTGGCTCAGTGGTAGAGCTCTTGCCTTACGTGCATGAGGTCCTGGGTTCGATTCCTCAGCAGCACATAAGCAAAAAGAAAAAAGCCGGAAGTGGCGCTGTGGCTCAAATGGTAAAGCGCTAGCCTTGAGCTGAAGAGCTGAGGGACAGTGCCAGGCCCGGAGTTCAGGCCCCACAACCGGACCCAAAAAAGAAAAAAAAGAACAGTGGCACACACTTGGAATTCTATCACTTGGAAGGCTGAGGCAGGAGGATCAAGAGTTTGAGAGTAATCTAGGCTACAAAAATCATTTAGTCTGCCTAACTTATGCTTCTTAATCAAATACAAGTCCAAGAAGTCATGAAGGTCCCATGTGAATCTGGCAGACAGAACAAAATCACTGTACATATCAATGCTTTTAAAAAAGCTGACTCTCAACAGTTTTCCCAAAGATACTAGCTCTCTGTAAGGACCTACCACTATGATAGAGGATGTCAGTTCAAATGCCAATATTCAGAAGCAACTCTCAAATGACTTCCTTCTCTTCTGTATACATACATCTCCCTGTCTGTCTTTCTCATTTTGCTAACTGTCCTCTTTTCATCCTTCCTTAGAAATTAGTCCCTAACTGTACCACTATACTTCGTCATCAAGCACTTTGAAGTCAGCTGTGCTTGTAAATCCATGATTGTCAAAGCATTTGCATACATCTGCATCTTTCCCATCTCACTTGGGTTTGATCTGGACTTTATTATTGGGCTGGACTTTATTATGATCCTCTACGCACCTGCTCTATGTCTACTCCGGCGTGAAATAAGAGCCACTAAAAATCGTGGGTGAATGTCATCAACACAGGTAGATTCTTGAGGGGGGGTCTCTGGGCTGCTTTTCTCATCATCTGATGATTCAGTATAATTAACCACAAGTTCTTCAATCTGCACAAAACCCTGGATAATGGGGATAATCCAAAAGTCCACATCTGGTGTCTGAAAACAGAATGAACATCATGTTGTTTATATTCACACAGCACTTAAATCCAAACAACAGTCAACACCTATGTCTATGTGTCTTCAACCATATTTTCTATTTAATGAATGGTAAGGGAAAAGAAAGGAAAAAGGGCTTTTCCTTTCTTCTACAATGATCATTCAAAAAAGTTGGAAAAAAAAAAAACATAGCACAGGGGCTAAACATCTGTATACAAATTGAAGTTATATTCCCAACTAGCTCACCTTAAAGAACTCACCCCTAATGTGTCCCAGTATTTCCTCCATGAATAAAGTTTTTTGTGAATTATAAACAATGCATGTGAAATGCTCACAGTGCCTGTCAAATGGTATTTAACACAAATAGCTGTTTCATTTATTTTTCTTAGTATAGTTGATTTTTAGCCCTCAAATGTATGCTAAATACAATCAACTCTGATCATGTCATTGTGAAACACATAGATGTACTTTATGTCTAGTTTGCCTAACAAAAATCTAAATAGTAAGTGAATAGCAACAAAAACCCTCTCCATAATTGTTGCATTTTTGAAATGTTATCCAATATAATTAGGAAGGTAGTAATCAAAGTTAGTGATATCCTCTTCTGAGGATACTGTACTGAGGACTAAATTCAGGGTCTTGAATTGGTAAGCAGGCACTCTCCCATTAGCCCACACTTCCAGCCCTGTTTTTCGAGAACTTTTCTGCCCCAGACCTCAAATGGTGATTCTCTTGCTCTCAGATCTCAGGTACCAAGGATTACAAGTGTGAGCCACCAGAGCCAGGTTCTTACGCACGTTTACAGGTAAGAACACTCAGATGTCTTTTTGCTTTGTTTGTTGATTGGTCTATTCATTTATTTGTTTTGAGACAAGGTATTGTTACGTAGCCTAGGCTGGCCTAGGACTTGAGAACTTCCTGCCTCATCACCCTGAGTGCTAGGATTACAGGTGTGCACCACCGCATCTGGTTTCAACACATTTCAAACCTACTTGTCTTCTATCATCATGCTCAAAATCCTATCTCAGCTTCTTTTGATTTATGGAGCCTGAAGAAAAGAATCTTAGGAAGGTTATTTAATAATGTAGTTGTGAAGAGTCTACTTGCATCATTCTTTTTTTTTTTTTTGTCAGTCATGGGGCTTAAACTCTGGGCCTAGTCGCTGTCCCTGAGCTCTTCAGCTGAAGGCTAGCACTCTACCAATTGAGCCATAGTGCCACTTCTGGTTTTCTGGTGGTTAATTGGAGATGAGTCTCTCAGACTTTCCTGCCCGGGCTGACTTTGAACCATGATTCTCAGATCTCAGCCTCCTGAATAGCTAGGATTACAGGCATGAGCCACCGCCGCCCAGCTTTTTTTTTTTTTTTTTTTAAATTTTGGTAATAATGGGGCTTAAACTCAGGACTTCGCACTTGCTAGGCAGGAACTCTATCACTTCAACAATGTCCCCCAGCCTGCACTCATTATTTTTTATCACCATTCTTGTTATTTGTATTTTGTTCTTGACAGAAACAAAGAAACACAACTTAGCAAATGTCACTTTTATTCCAAGTTGTCTGTTTTAAATAGTAAAGTTAAAGTGTTCTGATAAAAACTATAAAACACACTGGAACTCCACAGAGCCACTATAAAGGACAAATATTAACCAGAGTCCTCTGTCACTGGGTTTTAAGGATCATAGTTTGAGTACCATCATAAATAGCAACGGGAATACTCTCATGCCTCATTTTCAATAGAGACATAATAGCTGGATGGCTGAAGACAACACTAGAAAAAGTTAAGATCTGGGGATCACAGTTCAAAGCCAGCCAGTGCAGGAAAGTCAGTGATACTCTTATCTCCAATTAACCACCAGAAAACCAAAAGTGGTGCTGTGGCTCAAAGTGGTAGAGCACTAAAGAGTTCAGGGATAGAGCCCAGGCTCAAACAACAACAAAAGAATTAAGTTAAAATCATTTACACAAGGGGCTGGGAAGGTGGCTCAGTGGTAGAGTGCTTGCCTTGCATGCATGAGGCCCTGGGTTCGATTCCTCAGCACCACATAAGCAAACAGAAAAAAGCCGGAAGTGGCGCTGTGGCTCAAGTGGTAGAGCGCTAGCCTTGAGGCCCAGAGTTCAGGCCCCATGAGCGGACCAAAAAGAATTTAAAAAAAAAAAAAAAGATCATTTATACAAGTTACCAATATGGGCAGATAGGAGAGTAAAAGGAGAAAATTTTGAAAAGTTAATTGAAAGGTTCTCTGTGAGCCTATTCATCCATTTGCCTGTTTTATTTAGTGTCTAAAACTAAGTGGTACATGGGGCTGGGAAGGTGGCTCAGCGGTAGTGCTTGCCTTGCATGCATGAGGCCCTGGTTCAATTCCTCAGCATCACATAAACAGAAAAAGCCAGAAGTGGTGCTGTGGCTCAAGTGGTAGTGTACTAGCTTTGAGCTGAAGAGCTGAGGGACAAAGCCCAGGTCCAGAATTCAAGCTCCATGACCAACCATAAAATAAATAAATAAATAAATATTTGTTGACTTAACAAGTAAATAGTCTTTGTACAGTTATAATTCTCCAATACATGTGACAGAGTAAAGAAACAGACTAGCGATCTCATCATATTCTGGGTCTTCCCTAAGTTAACCACTGGCAGTGCTGAACGGGCCTTAAGAGATTTGCTTACCTCAACTCCCAGATGAGAAGCCAGAGTGGTTTCATTACAGGAAAACTGAGCTCCAACACTCGCAATGGATACAAACAAAATACCTCTTTTCAGAAACTCTAAGGACCTGAGTTCCATAGCCTTATATTACTGCCTCCTATGGGAACCAGCTATACAGGCCAGTAGGGAAGCAGTGAAATTATGAACTGCCTTAAAATAGAGTAGTAGTTTCTCCTAGTTAAATGATTCCCTTCCACACAGGGGAAAACATTAAAGTAAGATTTCACAATTTATCTTAACACAATTAAAAAGCATTTGCCTAAAATTTACTGCCAACAGGAAGGATATTTAAAAAAACCATTACTCACACCAATCTCTATAAGATCTTGTATCATATATTTATTCCAAAAAAATCGATCATCAACCTAGTAAAGGAAAGAAAAAAAAGTTCAGAAACACATTATTGTTCAGTTTTCCAATAAAATACAAAATAGCCCCTCAGCTGTTCCAGACAGGACACTGCTTGAGCTATGGGTGGTACCTTCTGCCACAGGGAACGGCTGTCCTTCTCCCCAGAGCTCTGCCTCTGCACCGAATTGGTCAGATCATAGGTCAAGCTGTAGTAAAAGGATTCTGAGTCCATGAACATCTTCAGCAACTCTTCAAGTAATCTTCTCTCCAACTTCTCCTTCTCTTTACTTTCTTTAACCTAAAGAAAATAAATTTCCCATTACTGCAGGAACTAAATGTAATATATTTGGATGATCCAAAACTTTCGAGTAAGAATAATCCCAAAGATCTGAGAAAAAAAGAGCTTCAATATAACAAATGGATTGAAAATAAATTTACTACCAACCAAAGTACCTTCTGACTTAAGACTCATCAAGAATGAATGCAAAACATGTATCAATTCAACTCTTACTTTCTTTTTATTAGGTGCAGACACATTGGATTTAATATTTGTAAAGGTCTTCAGTAGAAACTTTGAGTCATCAGGAGATGGTATAATCTTCTCTGGTTTGTTAATTCCAAAATGATGCTTCTTACAGAGCTACATAATTCAGAGAGAAAAAGATAATTCATTATTAAGTTCTGCTTGCTAGATGTTCAAGGCTAAGAGTACAAGTGAATGCTTTACTCACATATTTGGATTAAAGTACTTCAAGAATTAGTGATAGTGGATAAAGAATACAGCTGTGCTTTCAATGATTAGAAGTCACATTAAACATGCAACACAGGCCAGAGGTATGGCTCAAGTGGTAGAGTCTGCCTGGTAATTGCAAGACCCAGAAATATAACCCTAGTACCACATTAAAAAAAAGAAAAACAGGCTGGGCGCTGGTAGCTCACGCCTGTACTCCTAGCTACTCAGGAGGCTGAGATCTGAGGATCGAAGTTCAAAGCCAGCCCGGGCAGGAAACTCTGAGACTCTTATCTCCAATAAACCACTAGAAAACCAGAAGTGGCACTGTGGCTCAAGCGGTAGAGCAGTCGCCTTGAGCTGAAGAGCACGGGGACAGTGCCCAAGCCCAGAGTTCTAGCGCCACGACAAGAAGAGAGAGATTGAAAGAGAGAGAGAGAAAGACAGAAAGAAAGACAGAAAGAAAGACAGAAAGAAAGAAAGAAAGAAAGAAAGAAAGAAAGAAAGAAAGACAGAAAGAAAGACAGAAAGAAAGAAAGAAAGAAAGAAAGAAAGAAAGAAAGAAAGAAAGAAAGAAAGAAAGAAAGAAAGAAAGAAAGAAAGAAAGAAAGAAAGAAAGAAAGACAGAAAGAAAGACAGAAAGAAAGACAGAAAGAAAGACAGAAAGAAAGACAGAAAGAAAGAAAGAAAGAAAGAAAGAAAGAAAGAAAGAAAGAAAGAAAGAAAGAAAGAAAGAAAGAAAGAAAGAAAGAAAGAAAGAAAGAAAGAAGAAAGAAAGAAAGACAGAAAGAAAGAAAGACAGACAGAAAACAGAAAGACAGAAAACAGAAAGACAGAAAACAGAAAAACAGAAAACAGAAAAACAGAAAGACAACACAAAAAATTTCAAGGAAGGATATACTAAGGATTTAAACGCAGAAAGTTCAAGTTAGAACTATGATTTTAAGTTACTTCTTGTGTGTTTTTTGTTTTTTGTTGGTTGTGGGGCCTGAACTCTGGGCCTGTGCACTGTCCCTGAGCTCTTCAGCTCAAGGCAAGTGCTGTACCACTTTAGCCACAGTGCCACTTCCAGCTTTTTCTGCTTATGTGGTGTTGAGGAATCGAACCCAGGGCCTCATGCATGCAAGGCAAGCACTCTACCACTGAGCCACCTTCCCAGCCCTGATTTTAAGTTACTTCTAAGTGAGGAATTAAATGTTCTAGTTAATATTATTTGTTTTGAAACTGGCATCTAAAAATAAATACATTGCAAAATAAACATTTTTGATGTCTCAGGACTGTTACTTTACATACATCTGTGCTAAATATTTATTCATTCTAAATAACCGGACATTCTGGTTGAGAGGATCTGCTGCATCTGTTCTACTAGGAACCTTAAAAGTGTGACACTTCAAGTGATAACTTTCCTTCTATTCTTATATGCACTAATGAAATCAGAAGAATAATATACATTTGTGCCCAGAAATTAGTTAAATGAAAGCAGGGTCCCACTAATGAAGGTAATGAAGGAGAGAGGAATCATAGCTATGTAGAGAAGAGAGAATAAGAGAGAAAGTTCCAATCTAGTTAGAGACAGGGTTTTATATGCAATTTCAATATATGAAGCAAATGTTTTGAAAAGTGCCTAAGAATTCTATTAATAACATGCAACCTGATTCCACTTTATCAACATAGTCATTTTATTTCTAATACTAAGTGGGAACTCCCATTAAGAGATGCTTTACTGGTTTGAGAATGGTAGGATTACGTGCCTGTAATCCTAGCACTTTGAGAGGCTAAGGCAGGAGGACTGAGAGTTCAAAGACACGGCCCAAAAGCTGGCCTGAGCAAAAACTAAGACTCTAACTGAAAAATAACTAAAGCAAATAGGGCTAATAAGGGTGTAGCTCAAGTAATAAGTGATAAGGCATTTACCTAGAAAGCATGAAGGCCTGAGTTTAAGCCCCAATGTAGAAAAAAAAAATTTTTAAGGCAAAACTCATCTTTCTATCTTAACCAGAAATCTTTCTATCTCTTAAAACAGAAATGGAAATTTACTATCAATAGAAACCTTTTCAGTGAATTATTTTAATCTTCTATATAGTTACTTTTTTTTTTCTTTTTCAATCATGGGGTCTGAACTCTGGGCCTGGGCGCTGTCCCTCAGCTCTCCAGCTCAAAGCTAGCACTCTACCACTTAAGCCACAGCAACACTTGTGGGTTTTTCTACTTATGTGGTGCTGAGGAATCGAACCCAGGGCCTCATGCATGCAAGGCAAGCACTCTACCACTAAGCCACCTTTCCAGCCCTACATAGTTACTTTTAAGGGAAAAAAGTATAGCCTAGTCTCTCAGTCCTGCTCCAAGGAAAAAAAAATACAAAAATCAGGAATAGACAAAATTATTTCTTGGAATCCCTTGCAGTCCTAAGACTCTGGGATTAGACATAGCACTGGGAATTTGGACCCACAGCACAGACAGCTTCCCTTCCCAAAGGCACAGGCAATTCTGCATATTACATGATCATCACACCTTGATGCACACATAGGCAGATATTCCTACAGTTTTCCTATTGCTATCTCAAGTTACTCTTCACAACACAGATTAAAGGTGGCTGCTTGTTACTTAAGAAAAGGCAAATACAGGGCTGGGAAGGTGGCTCAGTGGTAGAGTGCTTGCCTTGCATGCCTGAGGCCCTGGGTTCAATTCCTCAGCACCACATAAGCAAAAAGAAAAAGGCCAGAAGTGGTGCTGTGGCTCAAGTGGTAGAGCACTAGCCTTGAGCTGAAGAGCTGAGAGACAGTGCCCAGGCCCAGAGTTCAGGCCCCACAATCGGACCCCCCCCAAAAAAGCCAGAAGTGGAGCTGTGGCTCAAGTGCTAGAGCACTAGCCTTGAGCTGAAGAGCTGAGGGACAGCGCCCAGGCCCAGGGTTCAGGCCCCATGACCGGACCAAAAAAAAAAAGGAAAAGGCAAATATATTCTCTCACTTTCTAAGTTGTTATCTATACCCACCTAGAGATAAAACTTTAAACAGATATGTGGTGGGAAACTAATACGGAAAACTAATATGTAGCTATCTCTTAAGGCAATGAGATACAGCAAACAAGATCTACAGAAAGAGGACAGAAGCCTATAAAACTTTAAAAAGTATTTTTTAAAGAAACATCTATGCTTCCATTTATCTGAATCCTACAGACTGATACTCTTATATAGATGAATTTTTAAATAGCACACTATCTTGAAAAACAGTCCCAGCAGTTCCTCTAAAAGTTAAACCCAGAATTACCAAATGTCCCAATAGTTCTATCCCAAGGTAAAGATTCAAGAGAAATAAACCTCCATCAAAAATGTGTATGCAAAATTTGGCACTATTCATAATAGCTAAAAAATGGAAAAAACTCAAATCTCCAACAAGTGATGATGAGTTTTAAAAATATGTGATGCAATCACATAAAGAAATGTTTTTTTAGTAATAAAAAGGAATAAAGCACCAGTATATGTTACAATAAGCATGAACCTTGCAACCACTATGCTAACTAAAAGAAGTCAATCACAAAAGCTACCTAAGGTCTAATTCCACTCATATGAGCTGTCCAGAGTAGACGACATACACAGAACTAGATCAAGATCTCCCACATTTTAGGGGAAATGAGTAATGATTGGCAATTACTTGGCAGGACTCTTTCTGGAAGTGAAAAATCACTGAATTGTATACTTCAAATGAGTGAGCTATATGAATTTTGGCATGTGAAGTATTTTTTGTTTGTTTGTTTTGCGGGGGGACTGGGGCTTTTTTTGTTTGTTTTTGTTGGTCATGGGCTTGAACTCTGCGCCTGGTCCCTGTCCCTAAGCTCTTCAGCTCAAGGCTAGGGCTCTACCACTTGAGCCACAGTTTCACTTCTAGCTTTTTTTTTTTTTTGGGTCCAGTTGTGGGGCCTGAACTCTGGGCCTGAATGCTATCTCTCAGCTCTTCAGCTCAAGGCTAGTGCTCTACCACTTGAGCCACAGCACCACTTCCGGCTTTTTTCTTTTTGCTTATGTGGTGCTGAGGAATCGAACCCAGGGCCTCATGCATGCAAGGCAAGCACTCTACCACTGAGCCACCTTCCCAGCCCCACTTCTAGCTTTTTTTGTAGTTTAACAGAGTTAAGAGTCTCATGTACTTTCTGCCAGGTCTGGCTTTGATCTGTGATCCACAGATCTCAGCCTCCTGAGGAGCTAGGATTACAGGCACGAGCTACCGGCACCCAACTTATTTTTTTAATGGCAAGCAAACAAGCCATATACCTCAGGCAAAATGTCAACTGAGGTAGAAAAATAAAAGCTAATACTAGAAACTTGAAATAAAATTGCTTCTGCTCCAATTACAGAAGGCAAACCAGACATTAGCATAGTGTGACCTGAAGATACTTCAGAAAAGAATAAAGGCAGAAGACTAGGCATCCCAGTTAGAAAGACCCACCATACAATAAAGGCACAGAACTAACTTCAAGAAGTCTTTTGCTGTGCATAAGACATGTATGTTCAAAAATAATGTCAAGGAAATACATAAAACTAATCATTAATAATAATCTGAAACATTTGAAAATAACAATCCTTAAGAGCAAATGCTAACAACCCAATGGAGCACCTTGTCTGTCATAGGCAAACCACTCAACCTACACCCTTGCCCATAGTAGGCAAATGCCCCACAACCAAGATACCTCCCCAGCTTTCCCTAGAGAAAAGAGTGAGTGTGTGTGTGTGTGTGTGTGTGTGTGTGTGTGTGCGCGTGCGCACATGCATGCATGTGTGCATGTTCACACACACCAGTCCTAAGGCTTGAACTTGGAACTTGGGCACTATCCCTGAGCTTTTTTGGCTCAAGGCTAGTGCTCGACCACTTGAGCCACAGGGCCACTTTTGGATTTTTGTGCTTAATTGGAGAAAAGTTTCATGAATTTTCCTGCCTGGGCTGGCTTTGAACCACAATCCTCAGATCACAACCTCCTGAGTTCGTAGGAGTCATAGGCATCCAGCTCTCTCTAGAGTTTTAACCAGAATTATTTCTGAGTAGTAGAACGGTTTTCTTCTCCTTTATATCCAGGAAAACATAAATGATTAAGTTCGATTAAGTTCTAAAAGGTCTTTTAAATAGAGTAATATGGAAATTGAAATGAAGATACCAAAGATCTAAATTAACATGTCAGAAAATTAGCAAGAAGTCTATGAATTTCAACATTTTGCCCATTGTGCTGTTCATTGTTGTAAAGCTCCTCAACATAAAACAGTATTAAAAGGAGAGAAGAAAAGGCACAAGCACAAATTTCTGAAACTACCTCTATAGAAGGTATATCCAACTAGTCCCTAAGGCAGACAAAACACCTCCTGCATAGTTATTTTTACCTCTAGTTGGTAAAGGTCATATCATATATTCCACCATTATCCTTGGTGATCTGATGGGGCACCAGTGGCTCACGCTTGTAATCCTAATTACTCAGGAAGCTGAGAGCTGAGGATCACAGGTCAAAGCCAGCCAGGCCAGGAAAGTCCATGAGACTCTTAGCTCTATTAAACTACAAAAAAAGCTAGAAGTGAAGCTGTGGCTCAAATGGTAGAGCCCTAGCCTTGAGCAAAAAGCTCAGGGGCAGTGCCCAGAGTTCAAGCCCTAGAACCAGCAAAATAAAGAAGGAAATAGAGGTAAAAAAAAAAAAAAAAGAGGGTTCGGTGGCTCAGTGGTAGAGCGCTTGCCTTGCATGCCTGAGGCCCTGGGTTCAATTCCTCAGCACCACATAAGCAAAAAGAAAAAAGCCAGAAGTGGCGCTATGGCTCAAGTAGTAGAGCGCTAGCCTTGAGCTCAAGAGCTGAGGGACAGCAGCCAGGCCCAGAGTTCAGGTCCCATGACCGGACCCAAAAAAAAAAAAAAGATACAGTAGAAGTTAACTCTCCGCTTCCTGATTCTGCTTCCCCTTCAGATTGGGAGTTTTCAAATTCTATATTGTTTCTATGTGTGTCTGATATGCTAGATTACACAGGTTTTGAAACAAGGATTCTATGACTAAAATGAGGTTTCAAAACCCAGGACACATTACTTTAAAGATATTATCCAGGGGCTGGGAAGGTGGGTCAGTGGTAGAGTGCTTGCCTTGCATGCATGAGGCCTTGGGTTCAATTCCTGAGCACCACATAACCAGAAAAGCCGGAAGTGGCGCTGTGGCTCCAGTGGTAGGGCACTAGCCTTGAGCTGAAGAGCTGAGGGACAGCGCCCAGGCCCAGAGTTCAGGCCCCACAACTGACAAAAATAAAATAAAGTAAAATAAAGATATTATCCAAGCCTATAATCCTAGTTCACCAGGGGGCTGAGATCTGAATCAATTCAAAGCCAGTCTGGCCAGGAAAGTCCATGAAACTCTTAACTCCAATTAACCACCAGAAAACTGGAAATGGCACTGTGGCTCAAAGTGGTAACATGCTATCCTTGAGCAAAAAAGCTCAGAGATAGCACCCAGGCCCTGAATTCAAGGGCCTATGACAAAAAATATATATGTATATATTACCCAGCTCTGAAAAATGTGTGCTCCTAATCTAGTAAGCTAAATCTTCTCATTTGCTATAACATTTTACCAAGGTTCCATAAAATTTCTCTTGATCTTGCCTTACCTCTAGTTCAAGATCCTGAGGTTCCATTTCAGAAAGCGACAGCACAGCAATTTTGGTAACTTTACAGACTTCATGGTCTCCTGGGAGTTTGCCCACCAGAGCTTTCTGCCGAATTAGAATAAGCCACCATGGAAGATCTGAAAGAGAAAAGAAATATTCACATCTGCTATCTATAGACAGCAACTGTTCTGGATGAATGAGGCAATAACCAACAAGAGTCTAAAATGTGACTTCTTAAAGTAAAATGCACAATAAAGATACAAAAATAGTCCTCAAATGTGGAAAGTAGTTCAACCTCACAAATAAAGAAATATAAGTTAGAACAATATTGTTACAGCATTCTCATCTATCAGATTGGCAACAATAAAAATTTATAACAGAACTAGAGGTGTAGCTCAACTTGAGCTGCAAGCACAAGGTCCTGAGTTCAATTTCTAATAACACACAACACACAGATATGCACTTGTGCACACATATTATGACAACACATGTGCTGGTAAGTCTATAAGAAACATGTTCTCAGGGCTAGGAAGGTGGCTCAGTGGTAGAGCGCTTGCCTTGCATGCATCAGGCCCTGGGTTCGATTCCTCAGCACCACATAAGAAAAAAGCTGGAAATGGTGCTGTGGCTCAAGTGGTAGAGCACTAGCCTGAGCTGAAGGGCTGAGGGACAGCGCCCAGGCCCAGAGTTCTAGGCCCCACGACCAGATCCAAAAAAAAAAAAAAAAAAAAAGAAATGTACTCATTACCTTGCCCATGTAATTGTAACCCCTCTGTATGGTATTTTCACAATAAAAATTTTTTTTTTAAATTTTTAAAAAAGAAACATGTTCTCTCATATAATAGTCCTGGTAAAAATACCAACACATACAACTCTTCTGGAAGAAAACTCATCAGTACCTATAAATTCAACACATGCACTTACTTTTTAATCTAGCTGTTCTACTCTTGAGCATTTACCCTAAGCATAAGCCCCAACAACCAAAGCTTACATACTGAAGCCTATTCTTTGCATTAGTTTGTAATTGTTAAATATTGTATTGGAAACCACCTAAGTATGAACATAAGAAAGTGAAGAATAAACCATGGCATATACATACAATGTATACTACGCAGCTTTATAAAAAGAATTAGAGGAATGAGACGTTAGTGGTTCACACCTATAATCCTTGCTACTCAGAAGGCTGAGAGCTGAGGATCCCACTTCTAAGACAGCCCTGGCAAAAAAATCCTAAGACTCTAACCTCTGACCACACAAAAAACAAAGCCGGAAGTGGGGGTGTGACTCAAGTGTTAAAGCCTTAAGCAAAAAAGCTCAGAGACAGTGCCCAGGCCCTGATTTCAAGCCCCAGAACCTGCACGCACGCACACACATGAGCACACACACGCACACACACACACACACACACACACACAGAAAATTAGAAGTTTTCTATGACCTTATAAAGAATGATTCCTAATGATTACTAAATGAAGAACCTACACACACACACACACACACACACACACACACACACACACACACACACAGAGAAAATTAGAATTTTTCTATGACCTGATAAAGAATGATTCCTAATGATTACTAAGTGAAAAACCTGGTGTCATATATATGCACATATATGTGTGTATGTATTTATATAACATAATATATAATATTATATATATGAATGATACAGCTGTGCAGTCATGTGACACATGTGTCAGGCAATGACAGTGGTCTCATAAGATTATAATGGAGCTGGAAAAAATCTAATTGCCTAGTGATGTTGTAATGTCATAGTTCAACATATTATTCCACTTGAAGTGATGAATGATGGTGTAAACAAACCTATTGTGATACTGATAGCATAGAGTATAATACATACAACCTAATAGTCTAATAATAATAAATAACTATGGTACTGGTTTTATGTAGATGGCATGTTATACTTATTATTTTACTGGATTTGGGGGGGGGGGCAATACTAGAGATTAAACTCAGGACTCACACATGATAGGCAAGCACTCATCCTCAGCCCCATCTTGGTTTAGTGTAAAACATACTCCATCTTACTGTTACATCTCATCCTTACTGCTTCTCCTGACTGAATCAACAGGCCAGGCACCAGTATCATCTAGTACGTGTAACTACACACTATGATGTTTGCACACTGATTGTGCCACCTGGCAACATGGTTCTCAGAATGGTATCTTAGTTGAGCCCAGTGGTGTAATTCAAGCTGAGTACAGTGGTGTAACTAAAGCTGAGTGCAATAGTTTAACTCAAGCTGAGTCAGTAGTGAAGTTCAAGCTAAATCCAGTGGTATAACTAAGCTGAATCCAGTTTTGTAACTCAGCTGAGTCCAGGGGTGTAACTCAGATGAGTCCAGTGGTATAACTCCAGCTAAATCCAGTGTTGAAACTCAGCTGAGCCCAGGGGTATAAATGCAAGCTCAGTCCAGGGAAGCTGATAGTGTAAGAAAATCTAAGAACCAGAAGGCTGGTGTTTTTAAGTCCAAAGGTCTGGGAACCAAGAGTTTCAATGTCCACAGACAGAAGGTAGACATCCAGACTCAGAGAAAATTTACCTTTCTTCTATGTTTTTACTCTATCCTAACCCTCAATAGACTCAGCAATGACTACCTACATTAGTGAAGTTAGATCCTAGTGTAGTAGTTCAAATGCTCTCTCTCTGTCTCTCTTTCTCTGTTTTCTCTGTTCCCCTCTGTTTCTCTGTCTCTCTTTCCTCTCTCTCTCTCTCTCACACTCTCTCTCTCTCTCTCTTACACACACACACACACACACACACACACACACACACACACATAGAAATATTGCATCCGCTATCTGGGCATCCCTTCTCAGGCAAGCTGACATATGAAATTAACCATCACATCTCCCTTTAAATGACCTCATCACTAGGTAGTATTACATCTACATATTTCTAGACGTGCCTATCCATCCTGCTGATATACAGAAGTTATATACATTTCCCAATAAAGCATGTTTAGCCATCATTCATTAATGTTAATTCTATAAGGTATTTTTCAATTTTTTGAAGTTTAAACATTACAGATAACACTAAAATACCCTTTGATTACTTTTAGTCTTACCTCATGGAAAATTCTTTCAATCTGCTCCACTAACCATTTTGTTAGTTCAAATAAGGAGAAAAGCAGAGATATCAAGTAAATGATTACATTCCATTCTTGGCATTAATCCTTTCAATTTTACTTGATGGCTTAAAAATTACTTGTAACTGTAAATTATTTTGCAGGCACTACTGCTTCAGCTCTTTCAGACCCTTTCCTAGTCTATAAATATAAACATTCACCTAATTACCAAAGTTAAAAATGAAAAGAGGTGTGTTTGCTATTGATTCTGAGTCCTTAGCATAGCCCAACATTACAGGCTATATTCCTGGAATCAGTTACATCTTCTACATCCACTATTCCTAAAGTATAGAAACAGAAAGCACCCAGCTGCCTCATACTCACAGTGGTGTGATCAGGAACTAATAATATGACATGCCAATGAAGGCAGAGGTAGATATTAGCTATTCTTGAGTCTTTTTTTTCCTTTGGCGGGTTGTGGGGCTTGATCAGGGCCTAGATGCTCGCTGTTCCTCAGCTCTTTTTTTTTTTTTTTTTGGGTCCAGTTGTGGAGCCTGAACTCTGGGACTGGGCGCTGTCCCTCAGCTCTTCAGCTCAAGGCTAGCACTCTACCACTTGAGCCACAGCGCCAGTTCGGCTTTTTTCTTATATGGTGCTGAGGAATCGAACCCAGGGCCTCGAGCATGCAAGGCAAGTGCTCTACCACTGAGCCACCTTCCCAGCCCCTCCTCAGCTCTTTTTGCTCAAGCTAGAGTTCTACCGCTTTGAGCCACAGCTCCACTTCTGGTTTTTGAGTGGTTCATTGGAGATAAGAGTCTCATGGGGACTTTTCTGCCATGGCCAGCTTTGAACCATGATTCTTGTAACTCAGCACTCTTGAGTAGCTCAGATTACAGGCATGAGCCACGGGCACCTGGCTTACTCTCAAGTAATGCTCAAATAGAGTTAAATTCCTGAAGTACTTCTGAAGTTTATGCTTCAAAGAACCACGGAAGAGTCTCAACTATATCTCAGAGGATGGTGATATACTGGAAGAGAAGAAAAGAAGAGATTATGCTCTGATATTACATTCTGCTCACCTTTCCTTTGTTCTGTCAAGCTGTGAATAAGAACACTTAACATGTTTCTCTGTCATTTCAAATTGACATTAAAAGTAAAAAATGTAAGCCAAATGATTCATTGTTCTTTATATATTCTGAGGTGTGCTTAGGCGCATGTAATTTTTTTTTCAGTGCTGGCAATCAAATTCAGTGCCTCGTGAATGCTAGGCAAGTGTTCTACCCCTGGTTAGATTCCCAACCCAAAATTTTAATTGTTCTATCTTTCTGGTAACTTGAATATTCTGTTATTTTTGAAATGTTTCTCTATGCTTCTTGCCTTAAACTCTGCTTTGCTATTAGCATAGCTACATTAGTTTTTATAGGATAATGTTTAGGTTTTTTTTTTTCTATTCTTTTACTTTCAGCCTTTTTGGCGACATTACACACACGTACACACACCATATACAGCATTTGTCTTAAAATGTACACAGATTTTGTTTTCCAGTATGCAAATCTTTGATTTTTGTACATAGTTATCATTACTGATATATTTAGTAATCTACCATGTATCTATGTGTCTCACTCATTCCATGCATACTTTTTATTTTCTTAAATCCCTTTTGCATTTATGACCCTCAAAGGTAATTCAGAGATCATCAGAGATGGTGATCGGTTTTAAAAGGGGGGAGACTATTGTCACCTTCAACAAGCCATATGGCCTCTATCCAAAGCCATTAGGACAGGGCTACTCAGCAGAACCCTAAGGAGGCAGGCTTTCCTGGGTAGCCTATGAAGTGGAATAGGAGCCGCACTTCAGTAGATCTGACAGGTGGGATTTCTACCCTAGTAGCCAAGGGGTCTAGAACACTAACCTATAAAGGATTATTCTCAAGCCCTAAGGAGCTTGGGTAGTGGAACAGAATGTCTAGCTTATGTCTGTTCCATTACTGTATTATGGGAGGACATATAATTTATTTGGCTTTACAGATTCACAGGTGCAGAGTAA